ATAATTAAAATGTATATTAATTTTCACAGAAGCAAAAGAGCAAGTATTAGCAAATTTGGCTAATTTTGCTTATGATCCTATTAATTATGGATACATGAGACAACTCCAAATAATAGATTTATTTCTTCATACTTTATCAGAAGATAATTTAAAATTGATACGTTTTGCAGCAGGTGGTATTTGCAATGTAAGTACTGGTAAGTACATAATTGTTATAAAATAAAGATTCTCTTATTACTAAAAAAAACATGCACATAATAATTATTAAAGTAAAAATTATATTTTAGATCCAATAAATAAATTGTACATTTTACGTAACCAAGGTATACAACTGCTGACATCACTACTTACTTCTCAAGACGAAGATATCATACTGTCAGTACTTACTAGTTTAATATTCTTAATTACACATGAAACTAAAAATGAAATAACAGCTGAAACAATTGAGAAGATATCTGATCTATCAAATCATGAAAATAATCGTATTAAAAATTTAGCAGTAGTATTTTTGAATGATTATATTGGAGTAAAAGATAAAACAGGAATTTCAAAAACAACATAGAACATATTTCAGTAGAATATACCTAATTGTACATTAATATTTAAAACTTAAATTGAAAATAAAATGAAGTTGTCAAGATCATTTTTTGAATTATTAAAAAGATATTGTACAGGAGCTTCAGATGTTCTAAAAAATGTAAAAATTGGTGATAAGGTATCAGTTTATAAAAAAGTTACAAAAGATGATATATTAAATTTTGCTAAATTAACTGGTGATTACAATCCACTACATGTTGAGTCATCAAACAACCTTGTTCATGGTGCTCTTCTTAATGGCTTAGTGTCAGGAGTACTTGGTACAAAAATACCAGGTCCAGGAACCATAGTAGTTGAACAAAATCTTATATTTCCAGCACCATGTTATGCTGATGATATAATAGAAATAGAAGTGCAAATTGTTTCTACAAGAAAAATTATGAAATGTGAATATACTTGTATTGCAAATGCAGAAAAAATTGTTTTGAAGGGAAGTGCAAAACTTATTAAAAAGTCATGAAGTGTCAATATGTAATACAGTGAACATGTATGATTTTATTAATAAAGAAATAATATAAACTCTTTTGCTGTATGCATTTCTGTATTTTAAAGTTGTATTCATATTAAATGAATAAAGGATTTATATACAACATGGATGCAGAAGTACAGCATTATGAAATAATGCTTATTAAGTATATGACCCATTTTGATTGCTGACTTAGCAAAACAAAGCAGCTTTAACAAAACCTGCTTCAATTCAATGACTTTCATTATTCCATGCAAGTAATACACTAAATTCAACCAATGTAAGTATGCTTAAGTTAATATATTATCATATTTTACTAACATTTTACAATTCAGTACAAAGGTTCTTAATTTTTCATATTTCTAACATAACTAATAAAACTTTCTTTATTTGTACTTTTCTTTAAATGATTACAATATACAATACTCAAATAAAATAATACATAGGTACAAAAATTTATTTTAGTAAAATGTTTTTACAGATAAAATGTATCCAGCACTTTTACTACTAGTCCTTTACTTTTCATCTGCATTTGCAGATAATGAAACTAAACCAAAAACTCTAAATAATACTCTTATAATTTCAACTACTGAGTCTCCAATTGGTTGTGTTTGTGGAATTTTTTTAAGTAGACAATTTAAAAAGGATAGTAAAGAACCACCTATAGGAAATCCTGCTGTTGTTTATGATCAGCCTCAAACATTTTTCTGTACTCCAATTGGGAATAAACTTTGTACAAATAAATGTTTGGAAACAGTAAGTCAATCTATAATAGCATATATTTGTGATTACATACATATTTCATTCAAATCATTGTTTTAACTTTTAATCTGTAATTCAAATATAGAATGTGTTAAATATTTATTACAGATTGTTAAATACCTTCCAAACAGTCCTAAAATAATTTGTAGTTCAATAGAACATGATTGTTACAAAGAAAGGGTAAATTCTATTATATTGTCTTACAATAAACAAGTAGTTCTTTTATATGAAAATCAATCTACATATTATTGCAATCTTTTTAAACAGGCATACTTATTTATTAAAAACTGCAAAAGTGGATGGATTAATACAAATCTCTCTGCTGGAAGAGAATACTGCTGTAAGGATGGCACATCATATAAATGTCCAATTTATTAAAATAAATATATCTTACTATTTATAATGTTATACTTCTTTTTATAAATTTTAAAAAAAAATCTAATAAAAATATTTTTTCTTGCATATTTTCTTCTTAAATATCCCGCTCCTTGTCTAAATATAGCTTCAAGAGCGTTATACACACTCCACAAAGAATCAAAGGAATCCCAGATAAATATCTGAAATCCTCATTCTATAATTAGACTTTCAGATGTGAAACTTTGTTCTATTCTGTGCATTTTAAAAAAGAAAAACTTTTATTCCACTAAGTTTTTCTTTTTGATCATTGATATGTGAGGTATGATTTTGGTCTTCAATTTGTGCTATTGGGTCAAGTTCAGGCATAACCCCAATAACATTATAGATGACAATGTTAAATTTAAATTGATTAGTAACTTTAAACTTGTATCTTGTACACTCTATATTTTATCGGTCAATATCTTGTTTTTGTGAAAGTTAATTTTACTCAAACAAACAAAAAAGAAAAGATAGGAAGATCATTCATCATTTGTATCATTTTTTGAGAATGTAAAATATTATTAATAACATTATAGTGTTTTATGGAAAAAAGCAATGTGAAGCTACATTACATTTAATAGTTAATATTTTAAATAAAATATACCATAAATAAAGATTGGTAAGAAATATGTGTGCACGACTTCTAGCATGTCCTTTATGCTCACAACCAGGTTTTTTAACATTGGATGCATTGCGAACAGGATTAATAAGTGTAGCAACACGACCTCTTACATGTCCTGTGTGTAATGAAATATTGCTTGGTATTGATAAACTTACAATTCATTTATTCAGTCATACTATTAATTTGAACAGTAATAATGCAACAGAAATATCAAAACATATAAATGTTACTAGTGATAATAATCCATCAGCAGTACATACTGTACAAAATACTACTTTTCAAGATTGGAATATGTCTAAAGTGCAAATTACAGAGTCACACAAACTTCCACAAAATAACTTAAATATTCAGAATAGTTTAAAACCTTCTCAAAGCATGCAAAGTGCTAAAAATGAAGCTTCAGTATTGAATTCAGAGATTGCTATTCAAGATCAAAATGCACTGAGTCATGCATCTCAAGTGGCATTTCTGCAAGATTCAATTTGTGGAAACAAAGAGATAGATACAATTCATAGGAACAAAGAAATAGAATCAGAGAAAGACTCTCGACAAATAATACAAGATACAATAAAATTAAATTATGCTACACAGTATTATGCTAATGAAAATGTTAAACATATAAACTTTATGCAAAATTATCCTGAAACAGAATGTGAAAATGTACAAACATTTAAAACCTGGGTGCAAGGACAACATTGTGAACAACAAAATATCAATACAGTAGATAAAACAGAAATAACTACAGAAAATGAAAAATCTTGTAATAATGATCAAAATTATAATGAACAAGTGGCAACAATGAATAAACTTTTAAACATTACAACTGCTTGTACTAACATATCATTAGAAAGAGCTAATGATAAAAATACACAAGAGAATTCATCTACTACATGTAATGAAAGTCAAAATGAAAGTCTTAAACATGAAGAGATATTGCCACAATTAAAACTTATAAAAACATTATCATCAACAAATGAAAAGACTGAACGTTGCAATATATGTGGTTTTCATTTTCCTGATCATAATATTTTACTTTTACATAAACAATTAATACATATGATTAATGAAAAGAACTTAAATGTTGTACCTGAAAACTTTCTTAAAAATTATTCATGTCATCTGTGTTCTAAAGTATTTAAAATGAGAGGTAGCTTAATGGTGCATATGAGAGTAGCACATATGGGATATAATTTAGGTAATTTATTTATTTGAAATTGCATTAACCAATGCAAATATTAATTGCAAACATATTAATAGATAAATACTTCCAGGATCATTAGCCAAAGGTGGACAAATAGAACTTATATTCAATGAAAATAAGTATAATTGTCCCACATGTGGAAAAAAATTTAAGAAGGTAACTAAATTTTTATAAAATAATTTTTCTACAAATAAAATAAATTTATTATTTTAGGAACAACATGTAGTACAGCATTTAAAAACACATGAAGCTAAACAGTGGGAATGTGATGTATGCAATAAAATGTTTACAACTAAATATTTTTTAAAAAAACATAAAAGATTACATTCAGGAGAAATGCCTTACAAATGCAATATATGCAATAAAACATTCACTTTCCAACAGTCATACCATAAACATAGATTATACCATAAAGATGATAAGCCACATACATGTACAACTTGTGGTAGATCATTCAAAGAACTATCTACTTTGCACAATCATGAACGAATTCACACAGGAGAAAAACCTTTTGCATGTGAAACTTGTGGTATGTTAACTTTATAAAGAGTTGAATTCGTTTAGAAAATATTGCAAAAGCTTTAATAAGAATAATGCATGTTTTGATTTCAGTTATTACTAACAATTTAACATGGATTGTTCTGTTTCTGCAATGTATGTATAACAATGTTTTGTGATTATTACATTTTGTATGAATACAGCTTATATTTGGAAGCAATGACTTTAATATCAATGAACAGCCACTATATATTCACATGGCATACATTTTATATAAAAATGTAAAAGTTTTATTAATAATATCTATTTTTCAGGAAAATGTTTTCGTCAACGTGTTTCATACTTAGTTCATCGCAGAATTCACACAGGTGTCATGCCTTACAAATGTACAATATGTGGAAAAAGTTTTCGGTATAAGGTATGTTATAACTACAAAATGAAAAAAAGAAACATTTTTCTAACTAACTATTTATTACTACAGGTAAGTCAAAGAACTCATAAGTGTCCAGTACAACAAATAGGAAATTCACAACAAATAAATGCTGTGGATTACCAATCAGTACAACTACAAAATACACAAAGTGTGAATAATGATTTGTGTAAAACACAAAAAGATTTTTTAAAAGATAATCAATCAATGTTAAATATCATAAATAATGAAGAAAACAAATATGTTCTGATAATAAATACTCAAGGTCAGCATCTTTTAACAAAAGAGTCTAGCACAGAAAAAACATTAACAATTTCAAATAAAGAACAAAAAACAGAAGATTGTACAGAAATAAACAATGAAAATGAAGAAATAAGGAATATATGGAAATCTAATATTCCTAATAGTTCTATATTTAAGAAATCCCTAGAAACTTATAAAGCAGTATACTCAAAAAATGATAAACCATTTCAAGAAGATACAAATGATTTCTTTTCAATGGTAATGTCTCCATTTGAAAATGGATTATCTTCACCTACAGTTGAAATGCAACACTTACGAGTATCATCTCCAACACAGAAAGAAGATATATTGAAGTCTTATGACACATTTAGAAATGGATCACATGATATTGAAATGAATGTAATTCATACAAACATAGAACAAAATTTTAATAGTGTAGATAATAATACAAACAATTTACAAACTATTAATGAGGAATCTTTGAAACAACTATTGTATAGTATTAATGACAAATAATTGAATTCTCTATAAGAGAAAAGTTATTAATTATTGTTGTTACAAATAAATATAAATATATCAAAGAAAAATTATTTAATTTGACAATTGTAATGAAATCTACTGAATTTTTTCAATATATTAACATAACGGTTCACTTTTCTAAAACTATTCGTTTTTAATGAGTAAATGGTTCTACGTTTATATAAAAGCAGCATAATACTTAACTCACTGAATAAACTCCCTAATTATTTAATAATTCTACTAAATTTTCTTCCAAAATGAATGTTCGCCCACAATATTCAAATTCCTGTTTTTGCTTTCAATAATGTTTATGAAGGAAAACCCTATATATTAATTTATCTTTTTTATGAAATGAAACTATTTGCCGCTGATTGGTTGATAAAAAACGAATAATACAGATTATCCAATCACAGTTTGGAAGACGTTACATTATGGCTATATAAAGGAACGCACGTGTTTTGGTTGAGTCGACTGAAACAACCTGCATCGTGTATAATCCTCGGTCGAGATATCGTAGCAGACGACGCTCCGATCGACTTGACAGCACAGTCCGTATTTTCACGTGTCCTCTTGCACATCGCATTGCGTAACTGGAATCCGACTTCCAGGGAGGAGCTCCCTTTTTCGGTAAGTAGCTATTTCCAAACAAAACTAAAGATCAAGGAATAACCAATAATTATAACGTATTGAATGGCTGTACAACAAAATTGTTTAATTTATTTGCTAGCAGACTTCATTTATCACAAGCTGTTTTGACATAGCTCGAGAAATATTTTAGTTTATCGGCCAATTGGGCACTGCTAAACGAGGTTTTCAGCCAATCGTGGTCGATGTGTACATACTTGTCGTGATCAAACAATAGAAGTAGAACTCGACATTTGTTACGACATAATTGTGAAGTTTACGTGTTTTCACAAAAGGCTTAGAAGTGATGAAATAACAATTCTATAATTGCTTGAACATTATATTCGTGCTTAATTTAAAAATGTATTATAAGCATCATTTAATGCATCATCATTGAATGTTGTTGCGTACGTTTGAAGCAGTTGAAAGGGGTTAACAAGACTATACAAATTGTGTAAAAGTATCATGTAAAAAATAACTTTCTTAAAATTTTTTATTCATTTAAATTAATACTGATATGTATTAATTTGCATTTTACAGTAAAAATGTTCTATATATTCGTGGTAACCAAATAATATCTAAAATCTAAGCAGCATTTAAAATTTGATACATCATACGTTATCCGTTCATAAAAACTCGATTTATTTATGCTTTAATTCGTTTTTAATAATCTTTCTGCTTTTATTTTTGAGTTTTGTAGCTTTATTATGTATATTTAAAAAATAGAATAAA